AGATGCCTCGGGCTCCGGTTTCATCACTTCCTGTAGTCACGTCAGCTGTGTGTCCGGCTCACAGAGGTCCTTCCTAAAGTGTCCCAGCTGTCCCTCTCACAGCTCCATGAAGCTCAGAGAGGACACGCTGACTCTGCAGCCATCCACACACACTCATCCAGCTCTGGTTAACCCTTTCAATCCAGCTGATGGAGCTCCAGAGTTACTGATCTGTCAGTGGATGAAACACTTCATCACTGACAGGCTGATGCTCTCTGGCTGTTTCACACATCTGCAAAAAGCGGCTACAACTGTAGCTGCCTCCACCACTGTGTGAATGTGAGAGTGAATGAATAGTGGTATTGTAAAGCGCTTTGAGGGGTCCCAAAAAGCGCTTTATAAATGCAATCCATTATTATTATTACCAGGGGCTTCTGTTTAAGACTATGTTTGCTCCTCACTGTCATCAGCTGTCCTGTTTCGCCGGCTGTTCGGGACAGTCTGTTGGGGGACAGCTAACAGGGCCTATGTTACCTTCGGCTGCACGGGCTACACAGGCCTGGCTATCAGGTTTTTAGGCCAGCAACACCGAGTCTCCGGTTCAGTGATCCTGGCCTCCAGAGCTACAAATATCCTACATGTCAGCTAAGAGCTAAGCTAAGCTAAATATAATTAAAGATAAAGTAAGATCAAGTGAGTAAACAGCAGGTTTGCGTTGGATGAAGCACGTGAGGATTACACTATGAAATAAGAAGTTCTCTATAAGTTTTTAATTAAATTGCAATGCAGGTAAGCTACACAAAAACACCACAGGAACAGGAAGGGACACTCTAACGCAGAGAGAGCCAACACCAAGTGAGAGCCCCAGTGTTTCATGTGGTGTGACACCAACAGTCACAAAGTGGGAACCACCATCTGCTCACTATGGCCCCGCCCCTCCATGAGCCTGGTTCTGCTGCAGGTTTCTTCCTGTTTTTTTAGTCTGTTTTCTTTGGATCTTTACCTTAAAATATCATTTGGGTCAAAACCTTCGCACATCAACATGATTGTACGCTCTAGTAGTAATCATAATAACATGTTCTGTCCAGGATAATTTACTGTGTAAGATTACAGCCTGGTCTCGTGGACCAACAAACACACGTTCAATAGAAACCTTTAAAACTAGATTCACAGTGTAATTGGAACCAAATGTTTTATGAGGGTGAGACACTTTCAAAATATGTGTAATATCCATTTAACTACTGTTTGCACCTGAGAATCTAAGACTATATTAACCCTTCCTCAGTGTTAGGTTATTAATCCTTTATTTATCCAGGTAAAAAGGCCATTGATATTGTCATGAACTGGCTGTGAAGCAGGCAAGATTGGACCCTATGCAGACTTGCAGACAGGACTTGAACTCAAAAACAGCCTTACTGCCCGAGTGCTGGAGATACTGCATACAGGAATGTAAACTAAACATACAGGGAAAAGCAACAACGAGGGAGGCGAATACATAAATACACAGGAGGGCAAACGAGGGACCAGAACATAGGAGGGAACACAGCTGAACATAATCTAACTCAGGGCCTGGAGGCCCGGTGTCCTGCAGGTTTTAGATCTCACGCTCTCTACACACCCTCTTTACACACCTGAATCAAATGATTAGTTCATTACCAGGCCTTTGGAGAACTTCAAGACATGTTGATGGATCAAGGACACATCTAAAACCTGCAGGACACCAGCCCTGGAGGCCTGGAGTTCAACACCTGTGATCTAACAAAGGAGACACAGGGAACAAAAGTCATCCATAACTCCTCGTCCATAACCATGCAAACAGATTAAACCATCAGATTCTAAAATGGTTTTTAACAATAAATTGTCATCAGTTACATCCATCAGTACCACTCCAACCACATCTTAAACAGTCATCTGTCATTTGAGTTAAAGCTGTGTAATCCCATTAATCCCATTAATATTAATACCTTTAATACCAGAAGCATGATTAATGTTCAGTCCCAAATGCAGAATCAACATGTTTCTCTCTATATTACTTTTGTAATAGCAACCAGGAGTTCCACTACCTGTACTTGTATTTGTATTACAGGTACAGTTTGAGTGATTGGTATAAGATAAGATACATACACAGTAGGTGATTATGGATATAGTTGGAAATATGCAGGACATAAACTATATAGCTTAACATAACTATTGTACCACTACTATTCCTATGTATAGACATGTACACACTAAATATACACGTATACATATACAGACATGTATACCTGCACATGTCCGTACACATGAAGGTCCATTATGCATGAATTGGTGACCGTGGATGTTCACAGAGTCCAGTGACTTATGACATCGTGATTGAGGAGTTACAGAGTCTAACTGCTGTTGGGATGAATGATCTGCCAAAGCGCTCCTTCCTGCAGCGAGGGTGTTTCAGTCTCTGACTAAAGGAGCTGCTCAGCCCACTCACAGACTCATACAGTGGGTGATGTGGGTTGTTCATGATGGATGTCAGCTTTACTAACATCCTCCTCTCACCAACCACCTCCACAGACTCCAGGAAACATCCCAGCACGGAGCTAGACATTAACAGAGTCCTGCAGGTATTTAAGGTTTATTGAAGAGCTAGACAGATGGTACGTGTAGTTTTAGAAATTCGAACAGAAAAGAAGGCAGTCAAAATTATTGGATTTGTGAAGTTGAACTTAATAAACTGTTCGCAAACGACCAGGTTGTTTCGTTGATAATGGCTCGATGAGTTATTCTGTGTTTGATCCAAGCTTCAGATACTGTAGCTGTCCTGATGTCGTGGAAATGGACCTTCCCTCCCCTAGTCGCCACTGTCCCCGTCTCCATGGAGATTGTTAAAATAGTTTTGTTTACTGAGTATCTTTGCATCATCGCTCGACTGCCAAACTTGTTTTGTGATCTGACTCTGGCTCACCTTTAATAGCCCACTACAAGTAGCTATTCATGTAACCTGTTTGACTACAGGATGTGTGGTTACCCTGTCAACTTCAGGTTTATGGCTACACAGTCATGGTAACCATGGATACACTACTGTCTTAAAAACATTATATCAAAGTGTTTGTGAAGACGCAGTACTGCAGGGTTGTCAGCAGGGGGCAGTGTTGGTCACAGTGACATGTAGTTATTATGGGCCGTCTGGTTGTAATGCATGGCTGTGACCAGCAGAGGGCTCACGGCTCACCTCTGTCTATAACTCGTGCTCTTATATAACTGAGGCTCTTATGTAAAACACATGAAACAGTCTCAGCACTGACAGAAAACTCACCCATCCTCCGGGAAGATGCTCGTCTCCATGACAACATCCTCAGGAACACATCACTGCACAGGTGATGCAGTGATGTGTTCACTGCATCCAGGAGACCCCCCCCCCAATGAAATAAACATAAATAGTTTTTTGTTGTTTAATTTCTTGCTTTTTTTTATTCGCTGTTTGAACACAAGGACATTTCAGGCAGGAGAAATCAACCAGTTACAAGCAGGTAGCAGTAGATGACATCATACAGCGGGAACCTCTGATTGGCCAGGCCCTTTCTTTAAAGGAAGACAATTGGTGGACAGGAGTACAGGTAAGTGGGGGTGTTTCCCCGACGGAGCTGAGGACACTGACTGTGTGTGTGTGTGTGTGT